AGTAAAAACTATAAAAATTCCTAATTTGCATGCAAGTATGTTAATAAATGAGAATTTGTGTGTTTTTAGATACAAATTCATTACCCCTAGTATTACAAAAGGGAGCATACAAAGGTTTCCAAGCACATTTTCTAATCAATTTATTTATGCAACAAATTGCTTGTGAGTTATTGAATTGTTGGTTACAAGGAGCCTAATACCATACGAGTGACACAAAAAATTTAAAAATATCAATATTGCAATTAATTCCACTACTCACTGCAAGGTTAGGTTCCCAGGTGATTGGGCCAAATCATTTTTTGTCAGTTTTTTTTTCAAGTATTATAACAAACAAAAACAAAATTACTCAATATACAGACCCCACTGTTAGTAAATGGTATAAAAATGAGTTAGTAATTAGAAAGTTAAAGTGGTAATGAAAAACTAGAAACCACAGAGATGATTTCAACCCTTAAAAATGACATTATCAAAAAACTACACTTTTTTTAATGTAAAGTTATAGAAAAACAATGAATAACAGAAAAAATACATTACTGTAGAATTTTTTAAATTGTATGCTACAGATAATAAATTCTGATGTTATCATCAAAACAATAAAATCCAAATGTAAATTTTGGAATTCAAGTAAAATATCCTGAGCCTCCCTTCTCCTTTTGATCCAACAGATAGCTTCACCAGTTCTAAACACTGGTTTCACCAAGAGTTTTGTCATTGGACTTGATTTAAAATATATAAAATAAGCTTCTCACTGCATCTTGGTTCAAACTATTTTATTATCATCCTAATTTCTGGCAAGATACTGTTAACCTTAACGTTAGTCAGGTATCATTTTCTGGTGATAAAAAACATCAGTATTTTTTAAAAGACTACATCCAGTAACCAATATACAAGTAGTAATTTCTGAATCTTTTTACTTTGAGTTTACTGAGAAATGTTAACAAGGAACAAAACTGCAGTGCTTTATATAAACATTAAATTCTATGGGTCATGTTCATGTGAGAAAGAGTTCAAGTCCACATTAAACCAGTGTTTTGACGTGCAGATGAAAACTTACTTGTTTGTCACAATTCCAGATTTACCTTCACTGCCAACACCCGCAAGTTTCAAGCATCTATAATTTTCATAGTGAACATTGTTGGTTACATCCTTTAAATCTTGCATGTGTGTTCTGAAAAAAACAAAAACATCTTGATCAACATTTTAAACTCATACTGGAACAAAACTGCCTCTTATAATCTTGTCAGAAGTGTCCATCATTAATACACTCTCAAGTACTTGAGTACAAAATGTTCCGTTTTTTCAATACATTTCTAGTGAATTCAGTTTTTTCAATTACCATAATGACAATAACACTCAAGGTCTGTTAAGCTTGGATATTAAAAGTTGTTAAAGCCATTTCTTCACGACCAGGATCAGCATGGGTAGAAAAGACTTCCTACTTAATAAGACAATCTTTTTAATCAAAATTCATTAACTATTTATACAGAAAATAAAGAATTACAAATTCACATACTTGCAGAAAAGACAAAAGTTTTGAAAGACATTTAGCCCTAGTCTTTACAGAATGTCTGCACAAAAAGATATACATATATATATATATATATATACACACACACACACACACACACACACACACACACACACACACACACACTGTATATTGATATATTTTACCCCTGCTGGAACTTCCAGTACTGACCAACATCAAAAAAATGCTGGTTTTGTTGGGATAATGTTGATCAGATGCTGATGTGGGTTGGGCTTGCTGGTATTAGGCTTGAAATATTGCAGATCAATTCTTGAACTATCCAGTGCCCAAGTAACCCATCACATAGAAAAATGTTGATTTTGTTGGGATAATATTGATCAGATGCTGGTGTGGGTTGGACTTGCTGGTATTAAGCTTGAAATATTGCAGATCAGTTCTTGAACTATCCAGTGCCCAAGTAACCCACCACATAAAAACATGCTGGTTTGTTGGGATAATGTTGGTGTGGTCTGGGCTCTCTGGTATAAAGCTGCAGGTATTGTTGGTAGGTTCTTGAAATAACCAGTGTCCACGTAATCAACTTACAAAGATAGTTTTATATAACACAATATATATACTTATTTTATATTTTATTATATGAAGGTGGTACATATTAAACTTTTAGTGCCATAGAAATGGGTGGTGTATGGATGAAATATAGAGATTTGACCTATATCTGGTTGACACTGGTTCACCAGCAAGTAATCAACACGTGATGGTCAATACTGGAACTTTAGCAAATGATCAACACATGCCAGTTGATGCTAGTTCACCAGTGAGCTACCAACATTTGATGGTTAACACTGGTTTTCCAGCAAGTGACTAACATATACTGGTTGATAATGGTTTCTCCAGCAGCTGGCTCACCAACAAGTGACCTGCACAGTGGTTTACACTGATTCACCAACAAGAGATCACCTAGATGTCTCAAAACACAATGTTAGCAGGTAGTCAGCAGATACTAGAATTTTTAGCAGGAGCTTACCACTATAACAAGACCAGTCATTATTTTACAATCACATACTGGTATATCTTAACACTTTAACAAGACCAATCATTATTTTATTATTATATACTGGCACATTTTAACATTATGACAAGACCAGTTATTATCTTGCAATTGTGTATTAACCCTTTCGAGACGGGTCACAAGTGAAAAGCCACATCATCTCATTTGTTGACTCGCATTGAAAATTTTATTGAACTACTATTTCATGAATATATGTCAATAACTTTGGTATCAAACTGTAGATTATAATTCAAATTTTAGTACTATACTAGACCACCGTGACCTGTTGGGTCAACCACTGTTCAGAGGTTATGAAGAATTCAAGCTAACTTCAATATTGCATCAAAATGAAGGTTTATTTTGAGATAATTCAATTAAATATTTCAATCCATTCGTGTTATTCATAATTCAAGAAAATATATTTGACTGTTGATTGAGAGTAAATGGAAAGACCATTTCATTTTTCAAAAAAGTGAAGTAAGAAGTTTTGTAAAAGAGTGCGAATGGTAGTGTGAATGATTTATTGACTGAGAAAATAAGCAAACAAACAATCTCAGAGTTTTAGTAGTATATAGATAGATTCTTCAGGATCTTGTTTTTGTCATCTTATGCCTTTTAATGAAGATGGGAGATTTTCGTTTATAAAATTTTGTTGTTCTCGACTTGATTTTTTTATTTTATTACCTTGTCTTCATAGTTACTATTTGCAAATAGTCAATAATATTATACGTCCATTTTATTGTTGTTTTTATAACATATTTTCATCTCATCATTTAATTTCTGTTGTGTATATATTGTTGTATAGAAGATATTTTAAAGTGATTCATCAGGTGGAAAACGAAGTTTTATTATAATGGAATGTACGAAAAGTGATCCGAAAAACGGCATAACTCGGTAACCTGTGGCACAATTTTAATGAAACTTGTTTTATTCTCATTCCATTACAAATATGGCGCTATTGTGCACCGTTTTTGCAGACAAGCACACACACAAACAAACAAACAATCTCAGAGTTTTAGTAGTATATAGATATTATTTAATTTAAAAGCAAATATTAAAAAACACAGATAAACATGGATTTCTGTGTGTTGCGTGGTATGTTGAATGCAACACTGGTTCAAAATAGATGTTTGTGAAGTCAAAATACTAAGTCTATAGTTTTGTATGAACTAAAAACTCAAATTGCCAGTATTGACAAGCTAGAATATAAAATAAGAGCCTCTTTTCAATTTGCTAAGATATTGCTCATGTAATAAATCAAACACAGTGTCACCCCACCCACCTCTTTTCATTTTTGTACACTTACTTATATACACTTACTTCTATATATGACATGAATAACACATCAGAAGCTCAGAATGTCCCCCTAGTAGCTTTCAAAGTCATTTCAACAAGCTTGGTGCCATTTCTTTCTTTTGAACCAATATTTCAACAAGGTAGGTTGTGTCTTTAGTCTGCTCGAAATTCCATATTTTTTTTAGACTAAAATACATGAGCTTGATAAATTATAGTGGAATTCCATGGTATTAATGTAGTAATTTATGATTTTTTAGTTATTCAAATGCATATATATATAT